TCTCTGTTTGAGGAAATTCTAGGATACTACAAAGCTCTTCTCTAGCATTATGCTCCACATTTCTAGAGAAGAAAATACCAGACTTGGATGGATTAATCTTTTGGCCAGACCTGTTACAAAAAAAACCCAAGATCATTTTTAGAAAAAGGCAATTTTGACGAGTAGCCTTACCAATGAATATTAGGTCATCAGCGAAAAAAAGGTGGGAAAGTAATGGTCCCCTCCTGCCAGCTTTCGTGCCTTTCCAGCTACCCATATTAAGAGCTTTGGACATACTCAAGGAAAGGAATTCCAAACATAAAACAAAAATATAAGGTGAGAGAGGGTCTCCCTGCTGTATTCCCCTAGATGGGGTAAAAGGTTCAGAGCATTCTCCATTGATCAACACGGAAATATTGGAAGAGCAAATACAAGAGAGGATAAGCTTTATGGTAGCAGGAGGAAATTGAAAGAAAGTAAGAGTTTCATGAATAGAGCTCCACTCCAGATGATCATACGCTTTCTCTAAATCAATTTTGATAATCATGTCCCCAGTGCGTCCAGTTTTCTTGTTAAAGGAATGAATTAGCTCTTGGAGGATAATAACATTATCCGTACCCTTCCGGCCCGGAATAAAACTAGCTTGACAAGGAGAAATAATGGTGTCAAGTAATGGCTTGATTCTGTTGACAAGCAGCTTTGAAATGATCTTATATGAAGTATTACATAAACCAATGGGACGAAACTGTGTGATAGATTCCGGGTTCTCAACCTTAGGGATCAGCATAAGAAGGCAGTTATTCCACCCAAGAGGCACAGTACTAGTGGAAAAAGCTTGCAAAATGTCAATACAAACTTTGGATCTAGTGTGATCCCAAAGTTTCTGATAGAAAAAAGGATGAACCCCATCCGGTCCTGGAGCCTTAAAGGGTTTCATGCTGTTAAGAGCCCTCCAAATCTCATCCATAGTGGGAGGATGGGCCAAGCTAGATAATTGCAGTTGAGAAGAATCCCATTCAAACTGGGCAAGCTGATAAGAGTCAGAATAAGAGTGGGGCATAGAAGTAGAAAACAACTGCTGAAACTAATCATTGCATATTGTACTGATGGAATGTAAATCCCAAATCCATTCCCCAACTGAGTTTTTGAGACCCAAACTTTTGTTGTAGGAACGATGTTTAATAGTGGACACATGAAAGAATCTAGTATTTCTGTCACCTTCTAGCAATTAGTTCTAGACTTCATAAACCAGAGGTCCTCCTCCAATTTCAAGATATCTGCGTATTCAAGAGCTAGATCTTTTTCCAGGCGGGAATGGAAAACACTATGTCGAAGGGATAGGTATTTGTGAATACCCTCCAATCGAGCAAGAATTTTCTTTTTTTGCTTGAACAAGTTCCCAAAGGTGGCTTTACTCCAGGACTTAGCTTTGCTCATCATATTGGAGATACATTGACTTATAGAAAGCTCGCTTGGTTGCCATACTCCTTGCACCAAGCTCTGAAATTCTGGGTGGTCAATCCAAAATTTCTCCAATCGAAAGGGTTGTTTCCCAATAGCCAAACGTGAGGGGTTAAGATCTAAGAGTATAAGATTATGATCAGAATGGACTCTGGGAAGGTGAAAAACAATAGCTTGTGGAAAGGAGATTCTCCACTCAGGGTTACTCCAGACCCTATCCAAGCGTTCACGAATAATATGACCATTGAATTGCATGTTAACCCAAGTGAAGCGCCCACCAGTGAATCCAAGATCCATCATATTACATCCATTCATACAAGAAGAATATGCCTCAATTCGAGATTGATTAACAGGGGAGCCCCCAAATTTCTCGGATTGGAATAAAACATCATTAAAGTCTCCGGCAATAATCCAAGGACCCTTAAAATGCTCTACCATGTTAAGAAGTTCCTGCCAAAGTTGGGTTCTAATATCGAATTGTGGGCGGCCATACACCCCAGTAAAAAACCAATTAACATTAGAAATAGAAGGAGAAGAATGATTGCGTACCTTAACAGTTGTATGAATAGCTTGAGAGCTGGTCGCTATTACTTCCACCACAATCTGGTTGTCATCCCAAAGAAGCCATAAACCCCCAGCATATCCCTCTGCATCCACAATGTGGTACTTTGGATATAACCCAGAAGCTAACTGGGCAGCACGCTCACCCGCAACTTTGGTTTCCAAAATTAGCATCATTACCGAAGCATGAGTGTTCTTTAAATCCCTGAAATGGTGCAAAAAATTCTGATTGGCCGCCCCGCGGCAATTCCAAGCTATGATCTTCATTGACCAAAAGTTAGTGTTGAGTAAGCCTAATGTCTCCTTAGCTAACCTGTGGTTGAGGATCATTGAGTTCTCGCTAGGCACATTGCATACCATCTGGGCATTCGGAAAATGGAACGGTAACACTCTGATCTCGTACTCCATCTCCCTCTGGATTTGGGGATGTGGAAGGATTCGGGTGAACAGGGATACCATTTTCATTGAGCCCAACAAGTGCAGGCAGCTGCAGTATGGGTGGTTCAGGGGAAAAACTAGCTTGTGTGGTTTGATAAGGCCAACCATTTTGCCTATTGAGGTGCTTCCTGCGCTGAAATTTACGTCCCAAACGAAGAGTAGATTTGACCCCGTTGGCGTTTCCAGAGTTGGAATCTGCATCAAGTGGATGAAATCCTGGGGATTCAACTCTTTTTTTAAGACTAGCGGGCTTCGCCATGCTCGCATTATCCGATGTTCGCTCCATGGTTGAGGCCCCAGGAAGTCCGGTTGTTGTAGAAAGAACATTGCTGTCTCCAGTGGCAGAAACTCCCCATTGCTTGCTAGAACCACCTGGATCCTGGGGTTTGTGACTAACTCCTGGATGGGTTCTCCATCAGTAGAAGATTCGAGAACCTTAATAGAGAAAAAGGGGTGGTTTGAGGATAAGGTAGGAGGAAGCTGTGATTTGTGGGAAATCGAGGCAATATCCGAAGGTGTGGTACAAGGGGTGGGCTTCACCGAAGCCATGCACATAGTTTGGATGTCTTTTTGGGCTAATAAAGGTGATGCAATCTCATTTTGGTTTGAGGCCAAATAAGTAGATCTGTGGCCCACATCGGGCTTAGTGCTGTTCCCCTGCAAGGGTTTGTTCTGTGGGTTTATGTAAGGTACAGATGGCTCAAGTGGCAGTGCCGTAATCTTTTTAGGCTCCCAAATCTGGTTCTTATTGTTGACCGTAGATAGACTAACTGTTTGCTTCCCATTTGAATTCAGAGATTCATTCTCTTGTGCCGTTGCAAGTTGTCCGTTGGGTTTCTGACTTGCATTAAATGTTGTAGCAGTGTTACCGTTGTGACTTGCACCAGTAGGATTTCGGGCACCCGACCCGGGTTTTCGGGTGAGGACATTTCCACTACGGTTCTCTTTGCTATGGCGGATTCCGGCAGCCTGTTTTTCTGGAGTTTCCACTGAGGAAGATACTTTCCGACGAGGACGTCGCCATTCAACTAGAAGCCATGGTCCGAAATCCTTCTGTTCATGTTCCTCAGTAGCTGGTAAGTCAATGGTGTTCTTACCCCTTTCCTGGTTAACTTTGATCAAAACAGGGGTAGGTATAGGATCTTGCTGCATTTGAGAAGAATCTCCAAATTTGGTTGACTCAAAAGTGTTTAAGGCATTTGCTTCTTGTTCCAATTGTTGTTTTGTATTAGCCTCATTGATTTGAGATGACAAGTTATGGGTACATTGAGTGCTTCTATGGCCCAAGCGCCCACATGAAAAACAGAGGGCATTGACACCTTCATACAAAACTTTTTGTTTATGCCTCCCGATCCTTACCTTTTTCACCACCGGTTTGGACAGATCTACTTGGACACATATACGTGCGTATTATCCTCTTGTATGATGGGCTGTATGTGCATCTACCCGTAGGAGAGTGCCAACTTGATTCCCAATTTTTTGCAAGGTGATAGGATCGTAGTAATCCGTTGAGAGGTTAGGCAGCTGGGCCCAGACAACCGTGGTAGTAAAAGAATGTAGAGCTTCAGATGGGATGAAGTTTGGCTCCCATCTTCTCATGGTCAAGAAATAAGGTCCCACGAACCATGGCCCTCCAAAGATGATCTTATGTAAATCCGCATCATCATGAAACCGCACCAGAAAAAAATCTAATCCAAGATCAATAAAGTCCCATTGTCCATTAGGTTTCCATTGAGCTTTTACCCTTGGGTATATATAGCTGTAGCCGAGTGGCTTATGGTAGAAAGCCTTTATAATCAAGGCGTTCATCCAAGGAGCACGAATCCTCTGTTTCTCTGCTTTGGAGAGCAGAACGATGGGTGTGTCATCATCTGGGTCATCATCCGTATCAGAGTCTTCTTCCATATACTCCGGCACCGTAGAGAATGTAAGAGCAATAGGATTTTTCGCAACCAGCAGCTTGTCTTTGTAAGAGGCAACTCCCTTCTGGCCGGAAGTTTCATCAGAGAGTATCGTCGGAGTAGCCAACAAGGCACTCTTAAAGGCTGAAGACTGTTGTTCCGACATATTGATATCAGAAGGCAGAGTTACGGTAGCGTCGATATCTGAGCATGCAAAATCATCCTTGATCTTCCTGACGCTACGGTCAAGCAGATCGGATTCCTGCGAAGAAGAAGATGTGCGCGTAGTTTCTCTCACTTCCATTTTCTTAAACGGCCACTACTTTGCTTCAGCTTTATTTTGGAAATTGTACGTTGACATTGAGATTTCTTGCTCTTTCCATAAA